AGTTATTTAATGTTTTAAATTGCAAGCTGTAATTTTCTTTTATATGAACTTGGTTGAAATTGTAATAAACTAAATTTTTGGAATAGAATTAATGATAATTAAATCAGACTTTCTGTCTCCTTGGCTTGCACGACATCCCCCTTCTATCCCTCAGCCTCTCCAAACCATGGAGGCTTTTCCTTCCTTTGTTCTCCCTTTTGGTTTGTATCCCTCCTGTTCTCCAAACTCCAACTGAGAGACACAAGCAAGTTGAAGTCCTCATCCTCCATTGAAGCAGGTAACAATGATAAAATTCGAGTTTCAATTCAGGTATGGATCAACTTGTCATATTTATCGTCCGAGTCGGTGATCTAGTGACTTTCGATTGATTATCCTTTGAACGCTCATTCTATCTCCATGTCAGTGCATCTTCTTACTCTCTCCATTACAAAAACAATGCCTTTTCATGCCTGAAAAGACTTCTCCAAGCTGATGGCCTATCTTTGCAAAATCTTAATGTTTAGATCATGTTGGCCCGACCAAAACACCTTGATACAACAACAACAACAAAAACATCAAGCCTTTATTCCACTACGTGGGATTGGCTACATGAATCCGTTTTCTACATTGTCCTGTTAAGAGTCAAATTTTCATTTAAACCTAATAAAAAAGTCATTTCTAATATTTTCTAACCAAGTCTTTTTAGGTCTACCTCTACCTTTCTTAACATAGTTCAAATCTAATACATCTACTCTCCTAACTGGGTCATCAAATGGCCGACGTTTTATGTGACCAAACCATTTAGGGTGACTCTCTTTATTCTTATATGCCACTGGAGCTACTCAAACCTTTTCACGTATATCCTTGTTTCACATTATGTCTGTAAGAGTAAAGCCACTCATCAACCCGAGCATACTCATCTCTGCAACAATTTACTTAATTTTATGCTTTTCTTTTAATGGCCAACATCTGTGCCATAAAGCATTGCTAGTCTCACCACCATCTTATAGAATTTTCCCCTAAGTTTGAGGGGTACTTTTCTATCTCACAACAAGTCTGAAGCATTCCTCCCCTTCAACCATCCAACTTGAATTCTACCAATAATATCCTCATCTATTTCACCATCACTTTGGACAATAGACCAAAAATATCTAATGTGTATTTTTATTAATGAGTTGAGCGCCCAAAGTCATAATCTCCCGACTAAATCTATTACTACTAAAAGGCAGTGATATTGAATGAAATTTGGATGAGATCATTCTAACATTGTGATCTAATTAGCCATCAAAATTTCAAACATTTCTGAAATCTTTTGACACCTCTGCTTACTGTTTAATTTCTATTCTTGTGTGAATTACACACCACCCACCACCATTTCCAACCACTTCGATCTCCATCTCTATCCATCTCAATCATGACCTCGCCATAACTTGCTTTATCTCCTAATAAAAACATTTGAACTTGTTAAAAGTTGGTTATGAACATTTCCTAAAATTTCGGATTCTTTAAACAACCTTGACCAACTTCACCTCAGCATCCATATCCTAACTCTAATCCCTCACCTAACAACTCAAACCCATTTACCCAACACAAAAATTAACTCTAAACCATTTACCAGTTCTTCCTAAATTTCAATCTCCCCTTCACTAAACTGCAAAAGTGTTTAACCCATACCCAACTCCATCCCGGGTCAAACTCGCAAGGCTATCTTACACCTAATTAAGCACCTTCCAACCCTCCCTAGCATTCTATGCTCAATTCAATGGCTTCATATAGATACTAATGATATATGCCATCCTATGACAAATATTATGACGACGGTTAATATTCCTCATGGTTATCATCTACCACTCATTTATGACATATCCTTCTCATTCCAGAACATCTCAAGTATTCTAGAAGTTTAGTCATATGATTTTGATCATTATTAATAGTTTTTTTGTTGTCATTCTCGTAAATCATACAATTTTGGTTATGGTTGTTATTCTATTTAGTAGTTGTTGACATTCTGCCATTTCACCTCCATGTCCTCATCATCAAAGTTTTTACAAGTCATCATCTACAAAATATTCTAGTCTTCTATATTAATCTTTAAAGGAGGCTTTTTTTTTTAAAGTCCCATGCAATCCACTACATAGCTCTAGTGCAATAGCATGTGTCAGACTTTTATAATCTTCTCTTATGATGATCCTTATGAGGATGTTTATGATGACAAAACTATTGCTTGTGATGAATTGAAATTTAAGAATGATTGACTTACAAGAGTCTGAGTTTTTACCATTTTGCTTGAGGTTTAGCCTCATACTATGGCTGAGCCTGAGATAGTATTTCTAAAAAAATTTGCTGACAATATCATTGAGATACCTTCTTATGTATCAGAATCTATTGCTGTTTTTTTCTCAAACCTCTTATAGTGGTTCCTAATACTAATCATTTGTAAGTACCTTAGAAGACATACTATTTTAGAAGATTTTAATTTGCTTTAGTTACACAATTATTTGATATTTAGGCTTCATTTGGGACGACTTTCTTATTGCTTCTTAAAGCAGCTTTCTATAATAAAAATTTTAATTTTAAACTTGAAAGTTGTTTTAAGAAGCAATAAAAAATCATCCCAAACAAAGCCTTAGTTTGTGCCGCCACCTCAATCCGATTACTAAATGATGAGCTTAATTATCTATATTAGCTTAATTAACTATGGAAGACGATCACATCGTTTGAATCGCCTTTTCTCACAGGTTTTGTACCATAATACTAGAGGAAGAACTCGTCTGAAGTGGCGTCTGACTCACCCTCTGGCCAGAAAAGCTCAAACAGGATAAGTAATATGATTGTGCTTCTCAATACCCTGCTGGGTATAACTATTGATCGTGAACAAATTTGTATAGCTGTAAGTTTGCTCTTTGGCTGCAGTTGCTATTTTATATATGTTTTCCTGATGAAGATGCGCTATTGCAGTAACACAAATACCTAATTTATGTTGTCAATGAGAAACTCCATTTACTTCTTACAAGCTTTTCACAATTTGATGATTTGTGATGAAACTTCATAAGAAAAATTACTCTAATGCTACAGCTTAGTACTTGAAGCCTGTAGTTGCGACTTCCAATACTTCCTTGGTGTTTGGGGTATAATTGTGACTTCCAATGGCCGCTTGGAGGCTATATAAGTCTATGAATTACCTTCAAGATGTGTGTTTTTTTATGTGGAGCAGATTGATTAAAGTCATCTCACATAAGTTGTAGAGCCTAATTTTTATTCTTTGAAAAAATAGGCTTTATAACTTCGGTTTCGTTTGGAACGGCTTTTTACTGCTTCTTAAAGCAAATTTTTAGTAAAAATTTTTTGTACTAAATAGCTGCTTTTAAAAAGCAGTAAGAAAGCCAAAGCCAAAGCAATAGTTTCCTACTCATCCACATTCAATTTCTAAAAAAAACTAACATGATTGGTAATAACTCAAAAATCATATGCACTATCATTAATGATGGGTATTCATTTGAGTTGTCATCATAACAAATTGATTGCTCTCATGTCTTACGTCAAGGTGGGTCTTAGCCAAGTTAAGGCGTAAGCCTAAACAAAGCTATACGTCTTGAGGCGTTTTTTACTGGAATTGTACTGAGGCAGGCCTCAAGGCGATTCTCATATGGCACATTTTAAACAATGATAAGATTAGGATTTTAAAATTTAAATCCTCTTTATTGATTTTAATTAAAATTTAGGAGTGTTTGTACATCTCCATAATTGTGCTTCATATTAATTGCTAATTGTAGTTCTTCTTTCTTAATTTTTCCAATACTTTTGAAAAACAATAATTAATTTTTGTTAAGAGCAATGCTCATCATGTTTGTTCAAATATAGAATGGATCAGTGTTCCAATTGCTAAATCAGAAGTTTGTTTTTTCAAGATTGTAAATTTGAGCCATACATTTTTATGATTCATCATTTTTAATGAACATAAAGAACATTAATTATTGCGTACTATATTTGTCAAAAAAATTTGACACTTTCTCATTCGCTTGATCCATCTAAAAAGGTGAAATCCAATTGAAACGTATGGTGCATTGATTATCCCATAAGATTATTTTTCATAGGTCACTAATTCTTGTCTAATAATTTAAAATTTATTGCTTATCATTAAAAAAAACAAAAGATTTACATACATACCATTTTATTTTATCTTATTTATATATGTAATATTTAAAACTTTCATATTATGTCTATCAGGCATATACAAATATTATTGCATGGAATGAAATATTAAAGTTTATAAGATAGTATGTGTGATAAAAATTAAATATAAGAGTGATATATTTAATATTAAAATTTTATATGAGCGATATGAATGTAATATTAAAGTTTTGGATGTTACATGTGTAAGTAGTATGAAATAAAATTGTACATCTCCATATATATATCTCTAATTTTTCATTACAAAATTAAATTTTATTTGAGACAATTTTTTTTATTATTTTATAAAACTACAAAAGAGAATTTTTTTAAAGTTACTATAAAAAGTAATTTGTAATGTTTTAGTACAAGAAGTTTTTAAGCGTTGTAAGAAAATAATTGTCAAATAGGAATTATGATTATGATTTGAAAAGTAAGCATTAAAATAAAATTATTTGTCAAATTACAAATGTACACATTGATCCCCTATTAAGTAATTGCTGAATAAAATGCAAGAAAACTATACATCAAAATAGACAATTGAATAAGAGAAATTAATAATGTTGCAAATCGGAAGGAATTAAAGTTTTATTTGGGATGACTTTCTTACTGCTTTCTAAAATTATTTTTAACTCAAAATTTTATTGAACTAAAATTTTTTATACTAAAAAACTATTTTAAAAATCAATAAATAAACTATCCCAAATGAAGTTTTAGACTATGTTTGAGATGGCTACACTATTTTATAAAGTTTGCAGCAAATAATATTTTTTTCATTATAATTTTTTTTAAATAATGAAAATATGATTAGAAATCAAAAATCAAATAAATTTGGGGTTGATAGTTGAAAATGTCTCAAACAGAAAGCTTATATGTTTTCAATGGTACTCACAGCAGCAACAAAATTTACAAGTGAAGAAACATGGAAACCAGTGGCTATGAGGTGAAGCTGAGGCTCTGCTCTGGGCTGAGCGATGGGAGCTCATCCTAGCTGTCGATCCTTTACCAGCGAAGAGTTTCGACCGCTTGCCTTGAGAATTTACCTGATGATCTTTTAGAGGTTCAAAATTTACTTTTATTGATCCAACTCTACCATCGCCTGTCAATCTGTTTGATCAAAGAATGAATCAGTTTGCAAGGAAAAAAAAAAAAAGAAGTAATTTTTAGAAATAATGATGAAGAAGATAGAGAGCATACATTGGGAAGGCGAAGCTGGTGGCGCTTCCATCAGAATGCCTGGAAATGCTCCTTCCCAGCATCAGCTTCTTCTCGCTCTCCTTCCCCTCCGCCGCCGCCCTCATCACTTCTCTCATCGCCTCCGCGTTCGCGCTGGCCGCCGCCGCCTCATCTATCTCCGTCACCAAATCCCCCATCTCCTTTCTCTCCACCCCACCCGCCGCCGCGGCCGCCGGCAATCTCGAATCCTGCGAAATCCACGGCGATGGGTAATCCATCGTCCCGCTCGCAAAACCCCTCAGGTCCCCAGATCTTCCCGTCAAAAACATCTGATCCCTCGTAAAGCTCGAGTTCCCCATGTGAATGCTGAACAACGACTCATTGGAAGCTACGCTCCATTCCATCGGCGTCATCGGGCTCCGCGCGAATATCGAAGATGGGATTCGGTTCGGATCCCTTACCATCGATTGAATCACAGGTGATCGTCGCTCGATTCCGAGCCCGGAAGGCTTCTCTCTATTACGAGGGCTACAGATTTTCTCGATGCCTTCCGCATTGATCTCGCTAGAGGTGGTGGGCGTCGGCTGCGGGTAGGCGAGCTCAGGCGGATTGATCTGGAAGAAATCGGATTCAGAATCGGAGTTCGAGTACGACGAGGAGTATGAAAACGATTCCTCATCCATCTCCTTATCCTTCTTATCATCGCTCTCTGCTTCTTGATTTGTAGCCTGAAAATCTAGGTCTTCGCCATTCTCCGCGTTTGGTACCGGCGACGGCGGACGGTTAGGTTCATGATCGGTGACGGAAATCTCCGGCGGGCTGCTGTTCATTATGCAGGTAGGTCCCTCAGAATCCTATTAATTTGATTTTTCTTTGCCCTTCTGTGGGACCCTGCAATGATTTCATTCAGAATTTTACAAAATTTATTAAAAAAAACGAAGAAATCTTCTGAAAGAGGAATAGTGAATGGATGGAATCAGCGGGGAGAGGGGAAAGGGAATGCCCCGCGTGGTTGTTCGGATGCTTGACAGATGGCACTATGGACGGTTGGATTTAAGCAAAATGTACACCGCGCGTCTTCGGATTAGGATAAGCGGAATTTCCGCCTATCCACTTAAAATAAATTGATTTTAATATTATATTTAATGAAAAATGCATAACACTTTTAAAATGGTTTTCAAGTTAGATTCGGATACAAACCGAAATTAGTTCGGTTTCAACTCTTTGACCCGAATACGATCCGATTAAAAAGATGAGGTTATAAGTCTGGGCCCGAACCCGACCCGGTCCCAACCTCACCCGCTAACCCTAGTGTAATTGGCTAGTGAGCGCAAGCATCAGTGGGCAAGCGTGGTGGACAACGACAGGACGTGACGGGATGATAGAATATTTATTTGTTTAGCCCTAAGCAAATAGGTCAATTTCGGGTTGTTTTCGAGTTGATCTGAACTCGACCTGAAAAGTGCAACCGGGTCAGAATATAAAAATCAAATCCGACTCATTTTTCAAACTTGTTGACCCGGACCTAAAATTGTCGGGTTAAATTCAAATCGAATTTTTTGGCCGTATTGAATATTGACCCCATAGCACTGTTAGAATAATTAATTAATAATTTATTATTATTAATTACTGTGGGTGCCCAAAAGCCCCACAAATATAACTTATTAAAGTGATGTTTACCTAATCTTTGCCCATACATTAAAAAGTGATGTGACTAATAAATTCAAGCTAAATAAACATTAAATTTTATGTAATTTCTATAAATCTCAAAGATTTAAGTATTTAGATTAAAAAAAAGGAATAAGACTAACATTGTTGAAATTTATTTTTAATACATTTATAATATATATCATTAGAAGAATAAAATAGTACTAATAAAATATAATTTTAAATTTAAGGCTGAGATTTCTTATAAAAAATATATCTTTTCCCCATTGTTTTTATTTTTTATTTTATTATATTACTAAAAAAAAGTGATTAGTGATTAGTGAAGCTCCACACAGGCTTCAAATGTTCAAAAATGAAATATCTTATTTTGAGAAAAATTGCCTAAGAAGACAAAAATATTGATGGTTCTCATGAAGTATCTATTCCCCCTTCTAATTTGAAGACCAAAAAGCTTTTATCATATCCTATTTCTTATCTAACTTTACATAGAATATGTATATTCTCATCAACTTTATACATTAATATTGGGCTCCCCAATATAGTTTTTTTTTTTTTCGGCGCGGGGGATTCGAATATGGGCCACGTAGGAGAAAAAGCTTCGTTTAACCAGCGAGCTGCGCACGATTTCCATATTATTTCAATACAAATAGATATTAGATAATTGATATGTGTTAAATTGATCATATTTTGATATGTGTTGCACTGATTATGAGGGTGTTGAGATTGGAATGTAGGCCAGATATTAGATAATCAATGTGTTAAATTGATCATATTTTGATATGTGTTACACTGATTATGATGGATGATTGAGAAACAAGAGGATCATGCACGAATTTCCAAAAATCAGTAGATTAAGTTTTTTTAATAATTTATTCATTTAAATTATTATATTAAATAATTAACTATTATATTTTTATTTTCTAAAAAAATAAATATAATTACTATAAAAATATATTCCAAAGAATATCCGCCGTATTTTGCCGTAATGGTGAACGTCAACCCTGCAGTTACGTAAATCCTCCGCTTCATAAGGAGCCTTTATTATTATTTTTTATTTTTTTATATTTTTATTTTTTATTCTTAAGGAACCATATAATCTCTAAATAATAATAATAATAAATGAAACAACCAATTAATATTTTTATAATTTTCAAAGCCAAATTCTTCAACGACCGAATTAAATAGCCCTTTCTTTCTCCATCTTAATCATAAATAAATGCCTTCTCAGATTTTCTTAAGGGAGAAAAGGCTGAAGATGAAGGATCCTGCAAGGCAGCTTCTTCCCCTCCTCGTGAAAGTACTGACGGCGGCGGTGGCCTTCGCCGGTGGTGGCACCAGCGTGGGAGTTCCGGCTGGGATCGCCGGAGTTCAGCCGCTGGCCATGATCGCGATCCACATGGCGTCGCTGGAGCTTGACAGGTCAGCCTCCATCAAGGTTTCGCCTAATCTGCTTGGTCTCCAGGTACGGGATCCACCATTCAAATATCTATATCTATTGATTTTTGGAAATTCGTGCAAAGTCCTCTTGTTTCACACTCATCCAATTTTCTGGATAAAATATTGTGATATCACCTTAAATTTTTTATTGGCTTTTTTTTTCATATTTATTTATAAATAATTTTAATATTTAAGTAACATTAAAATATAAAAATTTATTTTTTAATAAATTAATATTAATAATATTTTTAATTTTATTTATAATTATGAAACACCCATTTTATTAATCAGGATGAACATAAAATTATTGACTTTGATTTGAGATTAATATTAAATGAAAAGAATTTCTATTTTATAATCTAAAAATTTACTTAAATTTATTCTAATAAATTTTATATCAGGATATTTTCACATAATTATTTTCCAGAATTTTGTTCAGTGGCTACAAGCCTACAACAGTGGAGCAAGAAATTTTTTTTAATGAAAGTAAATTAATTAAATCTTTTTTAGGGATATAAATTAAAAATATTTATTTATATATATTTATTATTTATTAAAGTATATTAAAATAAATTATTTGCACTGTATTAATCCATATCTGTGAATCACCAATTTTAAATTAAAATTTTAGATATTTAAATAATTAAATTAATAATTATTAATTAAGAGTTTAGTAGAATAAAGTGTCATATAGGAATTAGCTAATAAGAATGTTGTTGTGATGTACAAGTCAAGATTTGTATTTTTTTATTTCAATTTTAATATTTTTCTATTCACATCAAGTAAAAATAATAATAAATTATAACTTACTTTACTTATTATCATTAAAAATAATTTACAAAAAATTAACTATTTAAAACTTCATGGTCATTATTAAGAAAAAAAAACGACTGTTAATATAATAATAAAACTGTAAAACTTTAAATATTAAAAAATAACTAAAAACATAAATACAATTCGATCCAAGTTGAAGATTTAAGATTTTGATGCAGAAAAAAATATTTTTCAAATAATTAATGAGCATAAATTTTAAAAAATAATAATATTTAATCAAATTTATTAAATTTGATTGCAGAAAGATGATACTGAATGGGTAAAAGTAGAGCTTCATAGTCCAAAACCCAGCTCTGATGATTGGGTTGGAGTGTTCTCCCCAGCAAATTTCAAGTATTTCATCCTTCTTCAAAACACTTAAAGAATTATTATTATTATTTTTATTTTAGAGTATGATTCAATTGATCTTCTAACTTTTTATGAATGATCAAAATATTCTCCGACTATATAAAAGTACCTATAATTTGGTCCTTTGACTCTTTAAATAGAGACTAAGGTTTTGTTTGGGACGACTTTTTTACTGCTTCTTAAAATAACTTTTTAGTAAAAAGAAAGCTGCTTTAAGAAGCACTAAGAAAGTCATCTCAAACGAAGCTCAAATATCTAATTCCGTGAGATCATATAGGTCCAAATTTAAAAAGTCAAGAAACTAAAATGAGACATTGAAATAAATTGGGATCGATCCTTTTGATCATTCGTAAAGAGTTAGAGACCATTTTGATATATATTTTTTATTTAATTGCATTAAAAACATGATAATTTATTTATTACCATGTTTTTGCTAGCCCAAATTCGGTAATTATCTTTTTTTTTTTAAATATTATTTCAGTGCCTCTACTTGTCCAACAGAGGTCGGCAATAGCAGAGAACAAGAACCCTTGATTTGTTCATCGCCAATAAAGGTTGAATAGAATTTTCCATCTTATTTACAAATCTTTTTAAAATTATGCTGTTACCCAATCAATGGTGATGAACTTAGCAATATTATATATTTGCAGTACCAATTTGCAAATTATTCAAATGCTGAGTACATCAAGACTGGGAAGGCAACTTTGAGATTCCAAATGATCAATCAGCGTTCAGACTTTTCATTTGCACTGTTTAGAGGTGGCCTTGCAAATGTTAGTATTTACCCACTAACCATTTTCAGCCATGATTTAGAACTATCTGCATGCCCTAATGATTGTTTTTGTGTTATAAATTGCAGCCAAAGCTCATTGCAGTTTCAAATACTGTCTCCTTTGCAAATCCAGAGGCTCCTCTCTATCCAAGGCTGGCTCAAGGAAAACTGTGGAATGAGGTAAGCTTCGGATTTTGTTTGGGATAATTTTTTGTCGCTATTTTTTTGTTGTTTTTAAGATTTTTTTTTTTTGCTGGAAAACTGCTTTAGAAAGTAGTACGAAAACTATCCCAAACAAAACCTTAATTTCACAACTTTTCAAATGATAACTTTTTAGATCCATATGTTGTTTAACTTGCCTGAAATTGATGGAAGGCAAGACTTTGGTTGAGGCCAATTTTAACCTTTCAAGATGGAAACAACCTAGAGTTTCTCTATCTTGATTCTCGACGATAGGATTAATTATTCAGTGCGGACGTCGAACGTCATCCGGAGACCAATCAAAATGCGTCACATCACCCTTGTGCTCGGTACCGCTGACACGACGCATTCTGGTTGGTCTCCGGACGGTGTTTGGCGACTGGTCTCCCTTAGAATAGGTAGATGACTATAGCAATAGAATTAAATCAATAATAACATTGAAATCCCACACTTATTTTGTTCTTTGATTTGGTAGATGACTATAACATGGACAAGTGGGTATAATATAGATGAAGCATTACCCTTTGTAGAATGGGGTCCAAATGATGGCCATCAGACAAGATCTCCGGCTGGCACATTAACATTCAGTCGTAATGACATGTGCGGTATGAAAAATCATCATTTTTCTCATCTCCATTTTGATACACATTACAAAGAAAGTGAAATATATATATATATATATAATTTGTTTGGCTATGTGCAGGTTCTCCAGCAAGAACATTTGGATGGAGACATCCAGGTTATATCCACACTAGTTTCCTTAAAGAATTATGGCCAAACACAATGTATAAATGATTGATTCTTTAATTTGACTTACTACTTTACATTTAACATTCTCTATATGTTAAATAAGATTCCATTGATGTTTCAGGTATAGTTACAAGCTTGGTCATCAACTCTTCAATGGAAGTTATGTATGGAGCAAGGCTTATTCGTTTCGAGCATCTCCTTATCCAGGGCAAGATTCGTTACAACGTGTCATCATTTTCGGCGATATGGGAAAGGTTTGGTTTAGTTATAGAATATGTGCGCTTGATATTAAAGGATTCATGTAATGATGTTGATATTTTCAAATGTGTTTCATATAGTTACAAGCTTTGTCGACCTCTGATAGGAAACACTTGTAGATCTCAAATATTTCCTATCAATCTTCGGAAAACAACGAGAATTCTTCACAAAAATCAGCACAAAATCACAAAAATAATAGATAATTTGTATTTTTTTTATGAAAAGGAAACATAAAATAGCAAGATACAATTGATCCTCTATTCGACTGGAGGATCGATCTCTCCCAAATCTCTAGACGCCGCTAGAGCCCAAAGAAAAACCTAAATCTACGAGATCTCAAATTTCAGTCAAATTCAAGATGTCATAACACTAGGAAAACAAAGTATTTAATGTTCATTGTTGGTAGCCTGTATTGGGTTGAACATAACAAATTTTTTTGACATTTTAATGGGTTTTAGGCAGAGCGAGATGGTTCGAATGAGTTCAGCAACTACCAACCAGGCTCACTGAACACAACAGATCAGCTAATCAAGGATTTGGATAACATTGATGTTGTCTTCCACATTGGAGACATAACATATGCAAATGGATATTTGTCTCAGTGGGATCAATTTACAGCACAAATAGAGCCCATAGCATCTGCAGTTCCTTATATGATTGCAAGGTTTGCTTCTTGTTTTGTTTGATGATTTTAGAGATTATAAAGTAGATTAATGGTGATCTTAGTATGTGTAATTGCAGTGGTAATCATGAACGTGATTGGCCAAATACAGGTTCTTTTTATAATACTATGGATTCTGGGGGAGAGTGTGGTGTATTGGCTGAAACAATGTTCTATGTTCCAGCTGATAATAGAGCTAAGTTTTGGTATGTCAAAGGAATTGCCATATTTATATAGAAAATTTAGATTTTTTTTTTTAAATCATTATTGGTATAGATTTTTTTTTCAGAAATAGTTAAATAATAGTTTGTTGAAATCATCATACTCTAACAAACATGGTTGTTAAAATCTCCTTCTCAGTACAAATGATTTTAAAAAGCAACAAAAAAGTATAGGCAAATAGAAGTATGAGAGCTAGGGGTGTAAGCTCGCGAGCCGAGCTTATCAAGCTCATGAGTCGAGCTCGAGCTCGTTTAGTAAACGAGCTCGAGTTCGAGCTTGATGAGGCTCGGCTTGTGAGCTCGCGAGCCTGCTCGAGCTCGTTTACAATGGGACGAGCTCGAGCTCGAGCTTGAGTTCGAGCCAACTTTCTGACCGACAAGCCAAGCTCCATAAGGCCACAACTCGACTTATTTACCCCCCTAATGACAACTTTTCCAAGATTGCTATGAAAAAATTATCCCAAATGGTGTGTGCTTAATTGATATAATTGTTTGTAAAAGTGATAATAAAATTGTGATTGGGAATCAAAATCTTGAAACACTACCTCGAATGAACCTTAAATAACTCAAATGAATCTTAATCAAACTTCATTATGTCAACTTAAACCTTTTAAATTTTAATGGTCAAAACTTTTTTTCCATTTGTTCCATAGGTATTCAACAGATTTCGGTATGTTCAGATTCTGCATAGCAGATACAGAGCATGACTGGAGGAAAGGCACTGAACAGTACAAGTTCATTGAACATTGCTTGTCAACGGCTGACCGGCAGAAACAGCCATGGCTGATCTTCTTAGCACACAGAGTCCTCGGCTACTCATCCGATTCCTGGTACGCAAAAGAAGGAACATTTGCAGAACCTATGGGAAGGGAAAGCCTGGAACTTCTATGGCAGAAATATCGAGTGGACATTGCATTATTTGGCCATGTTCACAATTATGAAAGAACATGCCCAGTTTACCAGGTTAGAATAGAACCATTCTAATCTTCTTAATTAGATTAAAGTTTCGTTTGAAACGGCTTTCTTACCGCTTCTTAAAGTAGATTTTTAATATAAAATTTTTCATTTTCATATTAAAAAGTTGCTTTAGATGGTTTGGTCACATAAATCACAGTTAGGAAAGTAGATGTATTAGATTTGACTTATGTTAAGATAGGTAGATGCAGACCTAAAAAGACTTGGTTAGAAAATATTAGAAATGATCCTTCTTTATTAGATTTAAATGAGAATTTGACTTTTAATAGGACACAATGGAGAAAAAGGATTCATGTAGCTGATCCCACGTAGTGGGATAAAGGTTTGATGTTGTTGTTGTTGTATATTAGAAAGTTTCTTTAGAAAACAGTAAAAAAGTTGTCCCAAACGAAGCGTAAGATTATGATATTTGTTAATAATTTATGAAGTTTAAAAATGCAGAGTCAATGTGTTAATAATGAAGAATCGAATTATGTTGGTACAATGAATGGGACAATTCATGTGGTTGTAGGAGGTGGAGGAAGTCATCTTTCAGAATTCAGCAATGTTCAGACTGCTTGGAGCTTGTACAAAGATTATGATCATGGCTTTGTTAAGCTCACTGCATTCAATCATTCTTCTCTTCTATTTGAATATAAGAAGAGTAGTAATGGTAGAGTATATGATTCTTTTACTATCTCAAGGGAGTATAAAGATGTTTTGGCTTGTGTTCATGATAGCTGCTCACCAACAACATTGGCTTCATAGAAAGAATAAAAAAAATAGTTGAAATAAGAGAGGCTTCATTAGAGATTTGATATCAAGCTTAGGCTTCATTTGGGATGGCTTTTTTACTACTTCTTAAACAGTTTTGTAGTACAAATATTAAAACTTTTGTACTAAAAATTTTCTTTAAGAAGCAATAAGAAAGTCACCATAAATGAAGCCTTAGTGTTCATATATGGTAGAGATTTTTCTTTGTAGAAGAAGCCATGTTAAATTGAAGGAATTAATTTCAAGAAGCTTATACTTAAATTTCTTAACGAAGATATATGGTTTTGGTTCATTTTTCTTAGTAGCCTAAGTTAGAAATATTGTATGAAAGTGAAGAAATTACATGAAACCAATAAATTTGCTGATGCTAAAGAAAATATAGAATATTACAATATAAATTTTAGAGCTTAGCTTAAATATGAAGAGATTTGATATCAAGCTTAGGGTTCAAATATGGTTTCATGCACTTTATAGTAGAGATTATTCTTTGTGGAAGAAGGGATGTTACATTGAGGGAAGTAATTTCAAGAAGCAAAATAATAATAATAATAATAAAAGCAATTTCAAGAAGCTTGCACTTTATTTTCTTAACAAAAATATATGGCTTTGAAATAAATTTTATGCTGAAAAATTATGTTCTATGACAGCCTTAAAAAAATTTATTTTTATAATAATTTTACAAAACAATAAAAAAAATGTTTCAAATGAAGCCCAAAGAAGAAGATGTAAATGAATAAAAAATAGCTTTTGATCTTTCATGATCAGGAACTTTGGAGGAAATCTTCTTATATTGGTTTTTGTAAGGGAAAGTAAAAACTTAGAATAGTGAATGATTTAATGGCATAGTTTTTATCATTTGAATTTCATAAAATTTAAAATATGTTTTTAAATAAAAAATATAAGACAACATTCATACTTAGGCTTCATTTGAGATGACTTTCTTCCTGCTTTTTAAAACAATATTTTATTACAACAATTTTAATTTTTTACAAGAAAACTATTTTAAAAAACAGTAAAAATTTTATCTCAAACAAAACCTTAATCGTTGTTTGAGACTATTTTTTTACTACTTAAAATATTTTTTCAGTAAAAAATTTTAATTTTTGTATTAAAAATTAATTTAAAAAGTAATAATAAATCAGTCCCAAATGAAACCTTAGTTGATATGATGTTTCATGATTTACTTAGCCTAAATTAGCTTCAGTTGATCATATCTTTGCTTTGGGCTAAATCTGCTAGCCCTTAATCATGGAACTAAGCCTCTGTGGGCATAAAGAAAAAAACAATTAAGGGATTTGATACACAAAAAGGTAATAATTAATATCTTTTTTTTTTTCATTGTTTTATCATTCGCAAACGTACTTCAGCATAAATAAATAATTTTTTTAAAAAAAAATTATAAATTTATAAACTCTCTTTTTAAAATTAAAATCATAAAATTTCTTACACATCTATAACCACCATAACGTATAAATCTAAATAGAAAAAACAGTTTCTCTTCAAAACATTTCCTAGAAGAAAATAAAAAGTTGGAAAATAAAATCATAATAAAAGACTCTCTCAAACAAAACTAACATTCAAGATGACTTGAACTAAATATTAAATATTTTATATGTATATTATAATACAATTATTAAATAAATAATAAAATTTAATTAGTAATTAAAAATTATGCAAGCTAATAAACTTCGATTAAAATTAGCTCCAATATCAAATAAAAAACGATCATCATTTTGTTACTCTTCAAATTCAGACTTGAATGCATTTACCAAAAAAAAAAACGCTTATCATTACTGCAAGTAGTAAAAACTGGACAACTCCTGACTGTTCAATTTAACCTGCAGTAAGCAGCAACTTGAACATTTCCTTCTTTATAATGGAGAAATGCTGTCTCTAATTAAGATTCATCTTTCAAGCGTGATATAAGTTCATCCTGCAAAATACATGGAACAATTATTAACACCATGATGGCGTTTTATTTGGGACAGCTTTCTTACTGCTTTCTAAAACAATTTTTTAGCATATTAAATTCTAGTTCAAAAAATTGGTGTAATAGAAAGCTTGCTTTTGAGAAAGAATCTGAACAGTTTATAATCATAGTGCCTTATGTGTGACTCCACCATCAATGAAAAACTACAAGAAGAATAATCAAAACAGACGTAGAAAAAAATTTTCTTGCCTTCTTTCCTTTGGGTGAAAGTCCTTTATCTTTTAAAATTGCACGAAGCCTTTCCACAGTCATTGTCTGAAGCATTCTCTCAGAAAACCCAGTACTTGATCCCTCTTACAAAAAGCAAAAATGGATAAGGGAATGTTGAAGAAAATGTTAGAATATCATCGAAAATTAAAAATCTGAAATATCAAATATCTGAGGAAGATAATGATTAATGTCAAAAACATTGTAAAGAAAATATGGGCACAATTTATCTTAACAGACTAATTAGTTCTCACGCTTTAATAATAATAATAATAATAATAATAATAAAATGGTCAGGATGACTATATTTATAAAACACTTAATTGTTTAACATAAAAAATATCATCTTCTTTTAACTTCTTGTTTCCCTTCCACCCAGCATAGCTTTCTCAAATCTTCTATCATCGAGGGTTATCATGGGTTTCGGGATCGCACGTCGCTGGTCTTGTCAATGGCCTCCCAGCGAGATCTTATCATGACTTTCTATTTTCTTTTTTCTCGTCAATGGTTTCGTTCGGGACCACAAACACTGTCAATCTAGTCAATGGCATTCTCCAAATGAGATCTTATTGTAACTTCCTCTCTTCTTCGACAGAACTACACAAATTATCAGTCTAATCGATTCCCATATCAGATCCCATCAGGACATCCTTGCATCTTCTTTCACACATGTGAGACAGAGTTAGTGAAGTGTTAGATATGTAAATAGGATAATTTTGAGTGTTAAGTATGTAAATCCCCCAAAAATTAATAATTTAAGATTTTGGACCAAATTTTCTCAGCATTTGGTAAGGCCCTAAAGCTCCAGTATAGAATTTCTTATATGCATTTTATACTTAAAAGAGTTAAAATCAATATGAACTTACACAATTGAATTCTATAGATTCTCATGTTTTCATCCTAGCTTCTATCACAGTTCTACTAGCTGCATATAAAATGGCATACATACCTACTTTATATTCCATAAGCATTCCGTCTGCATCTCACCTTGAACTTATACTGCATTCAACGGAAAAGGAAAAAAAAAAACTTGTACTAGTTTTTGTACAACCAGACCAACAGATAGAAATCATAGAATATATATATATATATATATATGAACTCAGCATCACATCATCAATTAAGAAACACAATTTAATAACTACATGTGAAAAACACAAGGATGACTAAAAAGCATTTAGAGACTAAATTATCATCATTAGAATTAACCCAACTATTTGGCGATGGCTTTATGAATTCTCATTTTTTATCCAATTTATGCCAAGCATTATCTTTAGGTGTTAAACCTATTCTTCATATATCATTTCGCATAACTTCTATCCTTATTAAACTGTAGATCTACCCCTTACCTTCACAATCCTCTAACAATAAATTTATCTAGTCCCTAATGGAAGATTTTCAATCCTTAGTTGTCCATATCCAAACTACTAACATATATTTTCAATTATATTATCTTGAATAAATGTAACTTCAATATTTCCTCAAACACAATCATTCTTCAATTTTTTTTCATTCATTGTTTTATCACACATCTATCGTTCTCAACTCATATCAAATACCTTTTAATAGCATAAGAACAGGATCCATACAATATTATTGGCCTAATTATAGTTTTATAAATTTTATTTTTGTCTCCATGATACCATATTATTACATAAAACTCCCAATAAATTTCTCTAATTTAGCCACCTGGTCTTAACTCAAAATTATATCTCCATTCTTTTGAATAATATATCCAAGAAACTCAAACTAGTTTCACCCAATGTATGCAAGATATCAACAAAAATCCACGTGTTTGATTACAAGATATTTGAAAGTTTCTATACTTTGAAATATCATGCAAATGGAGTCATTCATTGCGGAAATTTTGATGCATCTGATTAATGATTAAACAATCTTATAAATTCTTGAAAGCATGTATGTGTGACACTAGTTTTAATGATGTAAGGATAATAGACGGTTATGATCTTGCATTTGAAGGTGATAATATAGAAATTGAATTGAGTGGAGAATAAAGAATCTCCTCATAGAAGGAGAATATATATAACCACCCATTTGGGCCACCCTATTTATCCAACTTGATCAACTTAATCAACTCAAACTGTTGAAATACAGCCGTTCCTAGTACAAAGAATCCGACGGACACAAAGATCAATCCGTGGGATACTCTCATGGATCACGCCATAATGAGGGAACGAATTTAGGAAAGATTTTATTTTCTTATTTGTATTAAATCTGCAATTTATTATTTCCGCATTAGGATATCTTGTATAGATCTATAAATAGGGAAGATTGTAATGAAAAAGAACAAGCTTTTCCCTCTCAAATCCTCGTTTTCAACATGGTATCAGAGCTCACCGGAGGGAAAACTTCGTGAAAGAGGCCTTCTTTGCTGTTAACGGAAAGTCGTCAAAGGAACGTCGTTGAATAGCCACGAAGGATCCGAAGGAGCCAAAGAAGCCTCGCGTGAAGCAACAATCCCGATCCGACAGGAGTAAACATCCGATCCGACAGGAGCAAGCATCCGATCCGACAGGAAGTCCCGATCGTCGAAGGCGTCCCGATCCGACCGGTAGAGAAGCCTCCTCGAGCGGCTCCTACGGGCGAAAGGACCGATCGGCTGAATCTCTGGAGCCCGATCGAGCGGCTCCTGCGTGCGAAAGGAGCGATCGACTTCTTCTCTGGAGCCCGACCTCCTGCCTAGTCCCGATCTGAGCCTTTTGAAAGGCTCGGCCGATTTGGTTTAGTAAACCAGAAAAAAAAGAGGAAAAGAATCATTCTACTACCGAAATAAGACTCTTTCCCAGGGCTTAACTAAGACCTACTTACTCTTTTCCTAGTCCATCCTGTGCTATTTGAATCCAGTAGAACATTAACACAGTTAAACATGTGTTGGGCTAAATAAAAAGGGTCTTTTCCATCAACTATTCTTTTCCTATAGCTGATCTTTCATGGCTTCTTAAGGTCAGGATAGATTTAGGCTTCATTTGGGACGGCTTTCTTACTATTTTATAAAACAGCTATGCCATGTGTTGTAAAGGCATGATGATATTATAATATTATTTTATACAATAATATAGCATTAGCACAACATCAATGCACAGCTGCATCAGATTTATTCTTATTGTTGTCATTGTCAAACATTCACGGCCGGGCTTTTTTTACTACTTTCTTTGGGATAACAATAAACAATCAATGCCGACGTAATATGGCATATTGGCATATTGGAGAAAAAGGCAGCTTTAACGCTTACAAATTAATTTTGCCACGAATTTAGTTTTGGGTTTATCTGTAGGTTTTAAATTGACAAAGCAATTCATCAATAGAAAATTCAATGTGGAATTGAGATCGTCTGGTATTTTCTTTCAGGCCTTTTGTGATTGGAACTTACTGTTTTGAATTTCCTTTTGTCTTTGTGATGGGACTCTGTATACATACTTTCATTATTCTGTGTTGAAGGTTGTTTTCGCTGAAATTGTCTCTGAGACACAACTCTCCTTGGCCTATTGGTTGAGAGCTTAGGCTTCAAACTAAGAGGTCCAAGGTTCGAGTCTATGTGTATGCGTTGTGTGTGTGAGTTTGCCTTAATTGGCCTAAATGTCCCAAAAAAAAGAAATTGTCTCTGATTCTGACATTATGATTTTTGCATTTTCGTTTTTTGTTATCAGTTTTTTGGAGTGTTTCCATTTTTAAGTGTTTCATATAAACTCAGGCTTCATTTGGTACAGCTTTATAGCTGTTTTTTAAAAAATTATTTTAAAAAACAGTAAGAAAGTCGTCCCAAATGAAGCCTCGGTCTTATTTTTACTTGTTGCTATGCTAACAAGTTGGTTGCCACTCTGAAGCTTCCTATCCTCGCCGAGCGTTTCAATGGCATACTGGGAGAAAGAATTGCTGGTTATTTGTTCAAAGGGATTCTAGAATTGATCGTCAAAACACAGAGTATGTGTAACTTTGTATTAATTTGTTTCATTTACGTACTTAATTTTTGTTAATAGCCAATGAATGTGCATAGGTCTTATTTTTTCGTAATAAAAAGAGATGGAGCTCGCGATAAAAAATTCCTTCTAATGGAGCCTGCAATTGAGCTGATCTTGAACAGTTCAAGTTCGAGCTCAAGTTTGAGCCACCTAAAAAATATGCGAGCCAAACTTGAACATGTTAAGGCTCGAGCTCGAGCTCGACTCTTTTACACCCCTAATGACAACAAATAATAATATTAAACTTTCTCTTCATAATTAAAAAAATAATTTGTAATGAATATGAATATATTTTTAGGGGTAGTTTGATTATTTTAAAAAGAAATTTATTGTAAAAGAAATGTAATGTGTTAGATGCATTCAATAGCTAAGAGTGTTAGAGGGAAAAAAGCCAAAAAGGAAGCGCGAAAATATCTTCGTGAGCTCTGCTAGGGTTTTGTTTCCTCTACTTTTCCCGTCGCCGCCTCCCCCGGCTGGGGGCCGCTCCCCATGGCCGACTCGGTTTTTCCTCCGCTCCCCTCCACTTCTCCCTCCCTCCCCACAGCAAACTTGGTTCTTCCTCTATGGAAGAATCTTCTCACCACCACGCCTCAAATCTCCACGACTTTCTCCCACTCTCTGGCCTTTGTCCCGGTTGAAAATCTTACAGCTCAATTCACTAGCGAAGAATACGTCGCTGGAGCTCCCGAATGGTCTCTTTCGCTGGTTGGCTACTCCATCGGGCGGCGGCCGTTTTACGAAGCCCTCCTCAACGTCATCAAAAAAACATGGGCTTTGAAAGGCTCTCTCTCTCTGCTCACTATGGACGACGGTTTTTTCCTTCTCAAATTCACTGCCATTGAAGACTATGAGCTAGCTTGGACAGGAGGCCCTTGGTTTTTCTTCGGGAAGCCGTTCATCCTACAGAAATGGACGCCGGACTTCGTACCAAAACGTGAGGAATTTCCTTCCATTCCTTTATGGATCAAAATCATGAACTTGCCGCTCTCTCTCTGGACGCCAGAAGGTATCTCTAAACTAGCTAGCTGTGTCGGTATTCCTATCGTTGTAGATGCTTTAACGGCTGCTAAAACTCGTCTTACTTTCGCTTGTATTTGCGTCCAAGT